CAAAAAAATTCTCTTTGACTCAGCTATAAATTGTCGCCCAATTACTTTAAATCCACATCACCTGGTTATTGACTTCTCAACATCATGGGAATCAAAAGCAAAACAGAAATTGCAGGCTAAACTCAACCGGTCTGGCAGCATCTGTGGGAATCATGGAAATAGATTAATCCTGTCACTGTATCTAAGCCAACTGTAATTTTACACACTTCGGATAAATATTCCTTCTGCCTCCTCTGCTTCAGAGAAAACAATACCAGTCAATCCAGTCTTCCATTCCCAGCAGCAACCTCATAAGTGCCCTTTGTAAATATTCTCATGCAATCAAAAAGTTATTGACACAAGGTGACCAGAATGTGAACAATACTCCAGGGTTGTCCAATTAGTGTTTGACATAATTCTAGCATAATATCACTGTTCTTATCCTCTAGGCCTCACTGTGAAAGGGGAGTACTCTGTAAGTCTTCCTAATTACCTCATATACCTGGTCAACTACCTTCAGGGATCTCAGATTCACCTCTCAGTATTCTAACAGGTTTTGCTTATTCCTTCATCTTGTTTGTCCCCACTAGAAACAGACCCTCACACTTATCCAGATTGAATTCCATTTGTCACATTTCAGCTCAATGATTTCTTTCTGTAGTCTCCAGCTTTCTTCCTCACTGTCAGCTAAGCAACCAATGTTTACATGACCTGCAAACTTGATAATCATGCCCCTTACTTTGACATCTAAATCAATGCTATATTTCACAAATAGAAAGCAATGCAGTGCTGAGCTTTGTTCACGGGAAACAACCTCCCATTCACAGAATAATCTGACAAACAGTACCCTTCGCTTCCTGTCACTGAACCAGTTTTGGGTCCAGTATATCACTGCCCATTGACCCTGTGGGTGTTTATTTTTATGTCTAATCTTCCATTGGAACCTTATCAAAGCCTCAGTAAAATCTGTGCTGACTACACAAATGTGTTACCCTTATCAACTCTCCTTGTTAGATTCGCACAAAAGGTTAATCAAGTTACTTGGACATGACCTTTCTTCAAGAAGTCCATACTGACATTAATGTTTGCCTTTTGCAAACACAATTTGCAGCAGCTCTCAAATTTCTTTCCAATAATTAATCCACCATCAAAGCCATGGCAGTTGGGTTGTAATGATCAATGCTATTCACTGCCTTTTTTTCTTGCATCTGCCTAGCAGATCATTTCAAAACTTATAACAATTTCTATCAGATCATTCTTTAGCCTTCTTTTACATGGTAAACAGAGCACCAGTCCATTTTTTACATTTAAAGTCACTCAGACTTCTGAATCTGTTTTATATCTGCATCTATGGATACACTTTGTAGACAATGGATATTAAAATTCTGCACAGTTCCCCAAGTGCTGTCTATCCAATGTTCTCTACAAGTTAAATGTTACTGTATTACTTTTCAATTTTAGTCATATTAATATGTATCCTGGTGTTTTATTTGCTACTTTGTTAGTGGGATACATCAATCATATTCTATAATTTTAGTTGCTATGGAATGTGCTTTCTCTCTTATTCCTTTAATGTTATACCTTCATATCCCACACATACCATATCCACCTTTTGGTAAAATAGAAATCTACAGCATTTATTCCAACATTTCATTCCTTCACTCCTAGTTTATAACCTCCCTCAACTCTGAACAAAGAAGAACAAAGAACAAAGAAAATTACAGCACAGGAACAGGCCCTTTGGCCCTCCAAGCCTGCACCGATCCAGATCCTCTATCTAAACCTGTCGCCTATTTTCCAAGGATCTGTATCCCTCTGCTCCCTGCCCATTCATGTATCTGTCTAGATACATCTTAAATGACACTATCATGCCCGCCTCTACTACCTCTGCTGGCAACGCGTTCCAGGCACCCACCACCCTCTGCATAAAGAACTTTCCACGCACATCTCCCTTAAACTTTTCCCCTCTCACCTTGAAATTGTGACTCCTAGTAATGTTTTCCCCCACTCTGGGAAAAAGCTTCTTGCTATCCACCCTGTCTGTACCTCTCATGATTTTGTAGACCTCAACCTCCGTCTTTCTAAAGTAAATAATCCTAACCTACTCAACCTCTCTTCATAGCTAGGACCCTCTATACCAGGCAACATCCTGGTGAACCTCCTCTGCACCCTCTCCAAAGCATCCACATCCTTTTGGTAATGTGGCAACCAGAACTGTACGCAGTATTCCAAATGTGGTCGAACAATAGTCCTATACAACTGCAATATGACCTGCCAACTCTTGTACTCAATAGCCCGTCTGATGAATGAAAGCATGCCGTATGCCTTCTTGACCACTCTATCGACCTGCATTGCCACCTTCAGAGTACAATGGACCTGAACACCCAGATGTGTCTGTGCGTCAATTTTCCCCCGGGCTTTTCCATTTACTGTATAGTTCGATCTTGAATTGGATCTTCCAAAATGCATCACCTTGCATTTGCCTGGATTGAACTCCATCTGCCATTTCTCCACCCAACTCTCCAATCTATCTATATTCTGCTGCATTTTCCGACAGTCCCCTTCACTATCTGCTACTCCACCAATCTTAGTGTCATCTGCAAACTTGCTAATCAGACCATTTATACCTTCATCCAGATCATTTATGTATATCACAAACAACAGTGGTCCCAACACGGATCCCTGTGGAACACCACTGGTCACAGTTCTCCATTTTGAGAAACTCCCTTTCACTACAACTCTGTTGTCCTGTTGCCCAGCCAGTTCTCTATCCATGTAGTTTGTACACCCTGGACCCCATGTGACTTCACTTTCTCCATCAGCCTACCATGGGGAACCTTATCAAACGCCTTACTGAGGTCCATGTATATGACATCTACAGCCCTTCCCTCATCTATCAACATCGTCACTTCCTCAAAGAATTCTATCAAGTTGGTAAGACATGACCTTCCCTGCACCAAACCATGCTGCCTATCACTAATAAGCCCATTTTCTTCCAAATGTAAATAGATCCTAGTCCTCAGTATCTTCTCCAGCAGCTTCCCCACACTGATGTCAGGTTGTTACAACTCTGGTTAACAACTCTGGTTGTTTTCAGATCTACACCATTGTGTGCAGGTTGAGTAAGTTTGTTTCAATGCCAGGTTCAGAGATATATTTCCATAAACGCTTTATTGTGCTATAGATCCAGCTGTTGTTCTTGTTGAACCCTCCTTCAAATCAACCTCATTCAACAAAATCTTGGGCATGCCTTTCAATGTATTGAGGGATATGGAGCAAAGTGGGTGCAAGTGGAATCAAAGTCTAGGTTAACTGTTATCTAAATGGAACAGACTTGAAGGGCTGAATGGCCACTCCTGCTTTTAGTTGTCAAGTATACTAAATGTTATGTTTTGGTAGTATTGAAACCAGTAAATTTGCAGGTTCTTTTGCTGGCCGATTATTGAGTTAGTCGATAAGAGCATAATGTGTAGAAGCAGAACAGGCCATTCAGCTGATTAGGTCTGCTCTGCCACTCAATGAGATCACAGCTGATCTGATAATCCTCTGATGATCCACTCTCCTACTTTTCCCCCATAACCCTTGATTCCCTTACTGACTAAAATTCTGTCTTATCTCAGCCTAGAATATACTAATGACATCTCTCTGCTGGAAGGAATTCCACAAATTAATTACTCACTGCATGGAGAAATACCTCATCATCTCTGGCTTAAATGCTTGAACCCTTTATTCAGAGATTATACTGTCTAGTCCTAGACACTCCCATAAGGGGAAACAGCCTTTCCACATCTACCCTGTTAATCCTTTAAGAATCTGTATGTTTCAATAAGGTTCCCTCTCATTCTTCTGAATTCCAATGAGTACAGGACCATCCTACTCAACCTCTCCTCATAAGATAGTCATTCCATACTGGTATGAGCCAAGTGAACCTTCTCTGGACTGCCTTCAGTCCCAGTATATCTTTCCTTAGATAAGCAGCTCAAAACTGTTCACAGTATTCCAACCATGGTCTGACTAGTTCCTTGCATAGTTTTAGCAAGACCTCTGCACTTTTATAAAGTATTCCATTTGAAATAAATGCCAAAATTCTATATGCTTTCTGTATTAATTGCTGAACTTGGTGCCAGTTTTTTTTTGTAAATTAGGACAAGGACTCTGAAAATTCCTCTGTTCCATAGCATTCTGTTGTCTTTCTCTATTTAATTCATATCCAGCTCCTCTATCTCAGCCTTGAAATGTAATTTACCACCAAGCCTCCACAACCCACTATGGTAAAAAAATTCCACAGATTCACTACCCTCTAAGAAAAAAAATTCTTCTTTATCTCTGTCCCAAATCTGAGACCCCTTATTCTGAGATTATGCCCTCTGTTCCCAGACTCTCATACAAGGGGGAAACAACAATTCTGCATCGACTTTGTCAAGTCCTCCAAGTATCTCATGTTTCAATGAGGTTGCTCTCATTTTTTCTATACCTACTTGACTTCTGCTCATAAGCCAGTCCCTCCATATTTGGTATCAGCCTAATGAGACTTCTATGAATGTCACCAATGCTGATATACCTTTCCCCGGATAAGGGAGGCAAAACTGTTCACAGTAGTCCAGCCTTGGTCTGAGTAGTAATAGATTAATGGAGCAGTACAGCATGGAAACAGGCCCTAATTAATTCTAAATTAATCTAGTCCCATTTTCCAGCATTTAGCCCATGTCCCTCTAAACCCTTCCTATTTTAAATGGCCATCCAAATGCCTCTTAATTGTTGTAGTTGTGTCTTATGAAGCTTGCTTAGCCTATTACTGAACATGTATGCTAGCTTTTTATGATTTATGTTCAAGGTCTCTCAAATCTTTCTGTTCTGTGGCTTTCTACAGTCTTTCTCCATTTAAATAATATTCAGCTCCTTTATTTCCCCTGCCAATGTACATAACCTCTCATTTTCCCACATTATATTCCATCTCTCAAGTTTTGCCCATTTGCTTAACCTGTCTATATGATGCAACAGACAATAGAATAGCCAGTAAGTAATAATGCATGAAGAAGGACATTTTATTTGGTGAAGAATTGGATGGCTACAGAAACCCTAGTATGATCATGCAAAAAGAAATCAGATGCCTTTTTTTGTTTCTTCTCCAAAGTCTTCAGCATCTTAGGTGAACCCTTATTCAAAGTATTTTGTGTTGCTTACATACTGCGCATATTGAAACAACAAGGGACTGTTCAGGGTGTTCATCAATATTCCCTATAGCTTTGTTTTGTTATATGCAACTTATTCATTTAAATGTGTGGGTGCAGAATTTTTATTTTTTGAATGTCTATGCACAAACTGCCCACTTGGTGGACTTTTCTCTCTCTGTGCAGTTTAGTCGGGGGGAGAGTGTGGTGTAGTGGCAACCTTACCAGACTAGCAACCCAGAGATCCAAGCTAAAATTCTGGAGAGCGGGGTTTAAGTGATAGCTGGTGAAATTTCAATTAATGCATCTAGAATTCAAAATTAGTCTCAGTAATCATGACCATGATAACCATAGTCAATTGTTGTAAAAGCCCATCTCGTTCACTTCCACACTTTTGGAGCAAATCTGTTATCCTTACCTGTCTTACTACTTTTTCCTAATTCACTCATAGGATTTGGGCAAGACTAGCTGGGCCAGCACTTATTGCCCATCCCTAGCTGACTTTGAGAAGGTAGTGGTGAGCTGCATTCTTGAATGGCTAGTCAGTTTGGTGAAGGCACAGCCACAGAGACATTAATGGAGGGAGTTTCAACATTTGAACCAGTGACACTGAAGGAACAGCAATATATTTCTAAATTTGGATGGTGACTGGCTTGGCGGAGAAATTGCAGGTGGTTCGGAAAGTGTTTAGGAAGCATTGATGAATTTCTGTAGTGCATCTTGAGTATGGGCACATTGCTACTAAAAAGCTTCAATGGTGGAGTGAGTGAATGTTTGTAGATGTGGTGCCAATCAAGTGCCTGCTTTGTTCTGGGTGGTTTAAATCTTCTTGAGTGTTGTTGGAACTCATTCAGGCAAATAGGGAGTATTCTATCAAACTCCTGACTTGCGCCCTTGTCAATTTGAGGAGTCAGGAGTTAAGTAACTCACTGCAGGTTTCCTAGCCTCTGACCTGTTCTTGTAGCCATGAGGGTAGTGTGCTGTAGAAATGCAGGTGAAATTCATGAAATCTTTATTATTCTAAATTATTTAGAAGATAGACCCTAACTTTTTCTTATTTTACAGGTAAATGTAAGGTGTTGCATTCCAGGTGCAATTTGATTGGTCAAACTACCAGATGGAAAGCAAAACACACTTATTCATCCACTATTATTAAAATACAGTAAAAGAAAGAAGGAATTGGAATAACTTAACTCTATTGGAAAATTTAACAGAACAATAACTATCAGTAATTAACTGTTCCAATATAGCAACATTCCATAAACACATCCTTGGCAAAAGGCAAATTCAGAAAATGGATTGTCTCACATGCAGTTCTCCAATTCAAGAGGAAAGAACATCAAAAGACAATTCTGTGAGGGAGAGAGAACTCCAGCTTTCAGCTATAGCAAAGAGAGATATGGCAGCTTGTTCGCACCTCCAGCAGCTTCTGCTACTGAAAAAAGTAAAAATGCTGGTTTTGTGGGCGGGAGCTTGACTGCACCCATTCAGACTGCTTCTATTATTCCAACTTAAAAAAAACCCAAAGCTTCACACAGAGATAGAAAGAACTGCCGATGCTGGAGTCAGAGATAACACAGTGTGGAGCTGGAGGAACACAACAGGCCAGCTGACATTTCTGAAGAAGGGTCCCGACCCAAAACATCAGCTTTCTTGCTCCTCTCATGTTGTCTGGCCTGCTGTGTTCCTTCAGCTCCACATTGTGTTATCCAAGTCTTCACACGTTGTTTTATCTTCTTATGGACTGCTGGTCACCTGCCGCCCAATCTTTCTCTAAAAGAAACCAAGACAAAACACATTTCTTAAAGCCACAGTACAGTCACATTACTTAACAAATTTCTTTGAGTTAGATTCACAAGGTGGCTATACTCACCCACAATATACCATTTCAGCTTGAAGGACCCCACAAGCACAATTTACTACCTGTTCGACCTGAAACATTAACTCTGCTTTCTTCCCACAGATGCTGCCAGACCAGTTGAATTTTTCCAGCAGTTTATGTTTTTGCATCCTTTGAAAAGACTTCGCAAGTCACTCAGTTCAATCACAGTATGGGCAAACAGGTGCTGGTCTTGCCTGAGGCGCCTGCAGCCGATTGCAGAATGTAGGAAAACAAAAGGGGGACTTGGGACTACAAACATTTGCCTCCTGTCGGCAGCAGGCAAACATTTTCGTATGGATTTTTTTAAATTATACCATCCATAGATCCATTTTCTCTAATGCAAATGTTGGATATCTGAAAACAAAGCAGGGAGGGCACAGTGGCTCAATGGTTAGCATTGTTGTCTCACAGTGCAAAGAACCAGAGTTTGATTACAGCCTCGGGCGGCTTTCTGTGTGGAGTTTGCACATTCACCCGGGTCTGCATGGGTTCTGGTCTTCTCCCGCCTTACCTGTGCAGGTTAGGTAGATTTGCCATACTATAGCGTCCTGAGATGTATGGACTAGGTGGATTAGTTATAGGGATAAAGCAGGGGGTGGGTCTGGGTCAGATGCTCTTCGGAGGGTCGGCGTGGACTCGAAGGGCCGAATGGCCTGCTTCTACACTGCAGGGGTTCTCTGGAAACTGATGGCATCCGTGGAGAGAAAAATAGATTTCTGATGAAAAGCCATGAACGCGAAACCCATTTTTCGCCGAATGCCTTTTGTTTTTCATGTAATTTTCCTTGGGGGAATTCGCTTTTTCTCCAGGGTTTAGGTAATTCGCAACGCGCCCCCCTCCCCGCAACCCCGAGGAGAACAGCCGGCCGATTGTCTTGATGATCAACGAAAGTGAAACCGACTCGGAAGCAGGAACACACTTGCTGACGATATGGCGGACAGAAAGAAGGCTGAAAATTGGACCGAGGAAGCGATTTGTTCGATTTGTCTGGATTTCTTCACCGATCCGGTCTCACTGGATTGTGGACACAACTTCTGCCGCTCCTGTATCACCCAGAGTTGGAAAATCAAGGAGATAAACTCCTGCCCGGAATGTCGACAGGAGTTTCCGGAAAGAAACCTCCGAGCCAGCTGGGCCTTAGCAAGTCTAGCCGAGAAAGCTAGAAATCTGAAACTGGAGTCGAAGCAGAAGGACAAGAAATTTCATTGCGGGAAACACCGGGAAGAACTGAAGCTGTTCTGTGAAACTGACAAGAAATTGATCTGCTTCATTTGTAGAGATTCGCGGGAACACAAATCTCATCAGTTCCTACCGATAGACGAGGCTGCGGAGATGTACAAGGTAAAAGAAAACAATTTGGAGGGTTGCACTTCTGGTTTGTTGCATAATTTTCTCTTTGTCCAAAGCTCTGATTTGCCAATTTGACTCCTCGTTCCAGGACCAACTGAAACCACATTTAGAATCGGCGACAAGTAGAAAAATTGCAGTTCAGGACACCGAACGGCGGCAGAAGCGGCTCTTGTCTGAATTTAAGGTGAGGGCTCGTCCATGTGGTGATTTTCAGGGATCCGCTTTCTTTTTATGGCGGGACGTTAATGATACTTCTCATTTTATTCTGTAGAAACAGGCGAGCAGTCTGCAGACCCACATCACATCCGAGTTCGCTAAAATGCACCAGATTCTCACTGAGAAAGAGCGGCGTTTACTCAGAGATCTGAGAGAAGAAGAGGAGAGGATTATACAAACAATGGAAAAAAAACTCAGTGGGATCCAACAGGAGTTAGGTAGCGTTGAACGAGAACTATCAAAGTTGCAGAGTCAGATGAAGGAACATGACCCACTCAAGTTCCTGAAGGTAAAAAAAAATGGTTTTACTGAAGGAAATCCACATTTCAAACGTTGACAACGTTTTCAAAATCCATCACAGTGAAAACTGGAGGAGCAACATCTCATCTTCAAACTAGGCACTTTGAAACCTTCTGGGCTCAATATTGAGTTTAACACCTTCAAATTGTGAACCCATTCCTTCCCTTTCTTTTAGCTTTACCTGTTACATTCTCTGTCACCATGTTCTCTCTCCCCACCCCAGCTCTGTTCTTTCCAGTCTGGCAGTTAGACACACCCTTAACCTGGATTTCTTACATTCTGATCATTTAACTTGAACTAACAATATCTTTTCTCCCCCACTACTCTGATCTCCCCTGCCCCACTATAACATAAATGGTGTTCCCTCCACACTCCACTTCAGGTCTGAAAAAGAGTCATATAGACACGAAACGTTAGCTTGCTTTCTCTCCATGGAATCATGCCTGACTCGCTGTGATCTCCTGCACTTTTTGTTACCATACACCAGTTGGTTTCACACTGCCTGATGGCTTTGGTAAAGCTCAATGAATAACTTGTTCCTCTTGGTCCAGATGATAGGTCTAAAAAAAATTTCTACTCAATTGCTGTGCCTTGGGAGAGATATTCAGTTAGGCCCACATCCTGTTCTCTCTCTGTAAATGTACTCCCTTCAAAAATATATTTTCTCTCCACAGATGCTGGTAGACCTACTGAGATTTTCCAGTGATTTCTATTTTTGTTTCAAAAATGAGTATACAATTAGCTTTAGGAATTAGAACTCTGATTACCGCCAGCTCTTCAGCAATGCATTGCAGCCCAAAACAACTCCTGCTTTAACGAAAACAAAAATTCTTCACATCGCTTTCATTTCTTTTGTGAATCAACTTAAAACTTATTAGAAATGTTTATGGCAAAGAGTGAGGCACTTGGCTTTCTCTGGTGCCTGTGTCAGTGGATAAATGAACCACCAACAGCCTAATCCCATTTCCCATCAGAGATGCACATCCAGACACCATTTACAGGAGTTGAGAATTTATGCCCTGAGATAGATGGATTCTTGACCAGTCTAGGAACCAAAGGTTACAGGGAAACGAAGGAAACTGGATGTGAGGAATGTCGACCAGCCATGATTCAATGGCAGGGCAGTCTTGAGGAATCACACAACCTACTCCTGTTTCCATTTCTAATGGTCTATCTCCTTTCTAATCTCTATCAATCACTTTAAATCTATGCCACCTAATCTTGTCATAGAGTCATACAGCATGGAAACAGACCTTTCGGTTCAACTAGTCCACACCGACCATGCTCCCAAACCAAACTAATCCAACTTGCCTGCATTTGGCCCACATTCCTCCAAATCTTTCCTATTCAAGTACTTATCTAAACGTCTTTTAAATGTTGCTACTGTATCTGCATCCACCACTTCCTTTGGCAGTTCATTCCACATACAAACCACTTTCTGTAAAAAAATTGCCCTTCATGTCCTTTTTGAATCTTTCTCCTCTCATCTTAAAAATATGCCCCCTAGTTTTGAACTCCCATAGCCTAGGGAAAAGACCCTTGGTTATTCACCTTATCTATGCCCCTCATGATTTTATGAACTTTAATAAGGGTCACCCCTCAACCTCCCACCCTGTCTGTTCAGGTAAATAGGTTCTGCTCATTCACTCCATCCAGGCCCCTCTCATCTCAGTTAAGATGCTCTTCAACCTCCTTTGTTACAAGGAAAACTACTGCAACCTGTCCAATTTTTCCTCATGGGTACATTTTTTTCAGTCCTGGCACCATTCTCAAATCTACTTTGCACCTTCTCTAGTAATTTTAAATCCTTTCTGTAAGGAGGTGACCAGAACTACACACCGTACTCAAGTTGTGACCTAACTTAAATGTCTCTGATGAAGGGTCACTGAAACATTCACTTTGTTTTATAACTTGTTGCTGCCTGGCTTGCTAAGTATTTCCAGCATTTTCCATTTTTACTAGCTTAAATTTGTGCCCAAGCTCTCTCACATGATGCAGTCACTGTAGGCAATAAAGTGGTCCATATTTACATAATGCCTTAAGTAACAAGACACCTAAAACATTTCACAATGGCATTATAAAAGAAGTTGTGACATCCAGCCACATAAGAAGTTATAACCAAAAGTTTGGACAAGGGACAGTATTTACTGAGGATCCTCAATGAGAAAAGTGAGGTATGGACAAAAACATTTTGGCAGGAAATTCAGGCATTAAGGACTGCCAACTGAAAGCACAGCCAAGTCTGATGGGGTGAGTAAAATCAGGGATGGTTAAATAGTCAGAATTGGCAGAACAAAAGCACATATCTTGGAGGGTGTGGGGCTGACGATTCAGTTGCCAAGGAATAAGGCCTTGGAGAGATTTGAAAACAAGGCCGAAACTTTTTAAATTGATACATTGCTGCACTGTGTAAGTCTGTGAGCCCAGGAATGGTGTTTAAAAAGACACAGGAAGTGGAGTTTTGAAAGACCTGCAAGTTTATGGAAGTTAGAAGTTGGAAGGTCAGCTAGCAGTATATTAGAAATATTAAAATTTAAAGGTAACGAAGGATGGATGAGATCTGTAAATTAGTTAAGAATGACTTTTCTTTCATATGCTGATGTTGTCTAAAAGCAATATTGAGAATGCTGGAGAAACTCAGCGGGTCAGGCAAATCTTTATGTCAAATCGCTAGGAACTGAAATCCAGGGTTAATGAAGTGTGCTGATACTAAGGTCAGGTGACTACCTATAAGCACCACTAAACAACAGAGGGAGATGAACAGATTTAACTTTTAAAAGTTTCTGTCTCCAACACATTTAACTAGGCCAATTCTGCGTTTTGCCAGGTGTGTTAACTGATGCTGCAGGAAAAATCGGTCTCAAAATTACAGCATTAAAATGAGGCAATGCATTGCTAATAGAAATAACAAATTCTCATTAAGGAATAACAACTGCCTCAGTTTCAGTGTTATCATTGAAAATATACAATATGAATCTGTGTCAATTAGAGATTTTCCAGAGTAAGTTGTTGCACTATGTTCATTTTATTCCTGACTGATCTGTGCTGTCACTTAACAGAGACAAAATATTGATTGGTAATATGTTGGCTGCGCCACTAACCTTTGATTATCCTCTTAGACGTGTGATTCTCTCTTATTTCAAGAGGAGATTTCAAGGGACAAAGGGTATGTATTCCCTGCCTTTCCAATTAATTTAACTTGGTAATGTCTAAAAGCTGCAATGGTACACTGAACACTTTATGTTCACAGGATTAATGCTCAGGATGATGCAAAGTCAGTGATACCAGCCTCGGTGTCACTGGGAAGATTCAAAGGCCCGCTACAGTATACTGTGTGGAAAGAAATGATAGGGAGTATTCACCCAGGTAAAGAGCTTCCAGTTTTTCCATTTGAACCCTGCAAAGCTCTTGGCATGAGAATAGAGCAATGTGACATAACCTTTAGGTGCAAAACACAGAAAATGCAAAGTGTTGATGATGAGGGTTGTGAGGCTGGTGTTGTGTACGTAGACTTCCAAATTCCTTTGCCAAAATATACCATAATAATGCTGTTAGCAAAACTGACACACTTTAAGATTGAAAGGACGGAGCAGGATGGATGCAAAGTCAGGAAGTGGTGAAGAGATGACTCTGATTTACATGCTGCTCTGGGTAAGTGAATAGGAGCAATCAGAGATTAAAGCTTTACACCCTGTGTGTAAATCATCAGCTATCTTAATGTGAGGATTATTTCTATTTGAGGTTGTGACTTTCTTCCATTGGTCTTCATGTACCTGAACAGGCTAATTCTCAATCCACTGACCTTTGAGCACATGTAGGACATCCCAAGAGGTAGTGAGATCCAGATTGCAGGGTTTTCTTCCTTTACTTCTCTGATCTGGCTCATTGTTATGATCTTGGGAGTTATTCCTGACACAACGTGATGGACAAGTTGTCAGCATTCTGAATAATAAAGATAGAGAATGTAACAATTCTGTAGCATGTTACCCCCGATGTGCAACACCTTCCTTTTGACGCTTTGCTCTGCAGAGCACAAGAAATCAGAATCTGCAGCCACCTCCATGACCTGCCATCAAATAACAGTTTGTACATAGCTCCTCTAACATCTCAAGGTTCTTCACAACAGCCTGATAAAGCTAAATTTGGAATCAAGAATCATAAGACAATATTAAGGGACATGAGATAACACAGCGTTGAGCCGGAGGAACACAGCAGGCCAGGCAGCACCAGAGGAGTAGGCAAGTTGACATTTCAGGTTGGGAGAGGTAGTAGGAACTGCAGATGCTGGAGAATCCGAGACAACAAGGTGCAGAGCTGGACGAACACAGCAGGCCAAGCAGCATCATAGGAGCAGAAAGGCTGACGTTTCGGGCCTAGACCCATCATCA